TGAAGCACAATACTACTACTGTCATCAAATATAATGGATGTGTATCTCTTGCACCTGTTGAGATGACATACTGTGAAGGCAGCTGTGATGCTTACTCACGGTAAGTGGTATAAAAATAATTGTGGTCTCTTGTCTTCTACTCTTTACATCAGTTACACAGAATCATAGAATAACAGAATTTAGGGGTTGGAATGGACCTTACAGATCATCTAGTCCCAATCCCCTGCCATGAGCAGGGTACCTCCTCACTAGATCAGGTTGCTCAAGGCCTCATCCAGCCTGGCCTTAATTTTAAGTGAATCATGATTTTCTCATGTGTCTAACATCAACCTGGTCATTATCTGTTTGCATTGTGCTAACTAACTAGAATTTTTAGCAGACATGATGTTGTACCAGCTTAATTACCGCAAGATTCACAATGTTTAACAGCCCGTTCAGTGTCATGGACTTAGCCCATGTAAAAGTGAGGCTATTTGTTTCTCATTATTTTCTCACTGGACTGGTCCAATATATGATCTGGATGAATTCTTTTACTTTTTCTATGCCTTAATGAAGAGCTAGATCCATCAATTTTTACAATGAGGAGCAACTTACTTGTTTTTCACCACAATACTGTAAGAATGGTAATACTGAGCAATAGTCCCACAAGCAAGCACACAATTTCTGGATATGCTTTGTGGTGGGTGGAAGGGGCAGTGGTATTTCTCACATAAAATCTGAATCTTTCTCTTTCATTGCTTCTGCAAACAGATATTCTTCAGAGGCAAACACAATGGAACATAAATGCTCCTGCTGTCAGGAAATCAAGACCAGCCAAAGAAAGGTGACTCTGACATGCAGTGATGGAACCTCCCTTGATCACTCATACACCTATGTGGAGAAATGCAGCTGTGTCACTGCTCAGTGCATTCCCCAAGGCAACAACCAAGAGGAGACAAAACAGATAAAGACCTCTCAGGAACAAGCAGCCAAGAACTAGAGAGAAGTCATCAAACGAAGGTTGAAAATAGGACTAAAAAGCCAACAACAAAAAAAAAGAAAAGAAAGAAAAAAAGAAAAAAGAAAAAACAACCAAACAAAAAAACTTTGAAAAAAACTTTGAAAAAATACAAAAGTGTAAAAAGCAGCTAAAATTTTGGATGAATGGATGATAGTTTCTACATAGAGACCAACAGATCTATCTACATAATTACCTTTTTCATTATCAGCACATCCTCTATTTTTTTCATGTCTTTTCTTTTACACCTTCAGAGTTAGTTTGTCTTCTGAGAAGTTCTGTACCATAAGACAGAGCTGGATTTACAATTGCACAAAATCTATTATAAGAAACATTCTTTTCTGACTTGTAGCTTGCCCATTGTGGCATAATACACACTTCTGACAATATGTAACATTTCTATTGGTGTAGAATGACCTTTTTCCTAACACTTTCATTCCAGTTCATTGAAACAAATAAAAAGAGAAATCCAGAAAACAAACAAAACCCAAGCAAAACTGTAACCCTTTGCTTCTTTAGCTTTCTTTTTGCATTGAGGAAAACTTGAGACTGAAGAAAGCCATACCTTTTCAAAACTATAAACTTCAGTATGTTGAACAGTATATGATGGGCATATTTCCCTATATATTTTTGTGAGAAAAAATATCCCATTATGAGAAGCTGCTACACACTGCTTTTTGTTTACATAACACCATCAGCATAGTAACTGTATGAAAATATGGATATTTTTATTTTGTTTGTGGTTAACTGTTTACAGCACTGTATATATATATATTTGCCAACAGGGGCATATGAAGGAATTTTTTTTAAAACAGAAGTTTAATA